GTATTCGGAAGTAGTTTTTTCGGTTCATGCCATAAAGCATAGGCACTGGACAACTTGCTCTGCCTGCCTCGTAACATTTCCAAGGTCATCGGCGGCTAGAGACGATCACTGGACCCGCGGGCTTTAGTGTTTGGAACCTTTTTCGGTGGGGGGGATTCTATATACTCGTGTCTCAAACATCGGTTTACACCGTACCTCAAAATGTCAGATCGATGGATGGTCAGTTTGCCTTTTGGTTGAGCTTCTAGACTGTTGGTACATTTGGATGTCGATCATGATAAATGCCTGACAAGAAGGCAGTTACAGGTATTTTTGATCGCTTCTTTGATCTTCACATCACTCAGCTCTTGCAGAACACCTGCACTTTTCCAGCCTGTCTGTGTGGCAGGAAGCAGAATCATCGCCCCCCGAAAGCTCTTTGGATTGCTGCAACTTGGAACAATTTTGCACCACAGGAGCCTCCCCGTTGCATGTTGGAATGGACAGTCCAATCATTGATGTACTGATGTACTCCAAAGACGAAGCTACTAGGAGCAAGGACGCTACTAGGGGCTCCTGGCCTTACTACTAGGAGCAAGGACGCTACTAGGGGCTCCTGGCCTTACTACTAGGAGCAAGGACGCTACTAGGGGCTCCTGGCATCGCTACTAGGAGCAAGGACGCCATGGGCTTCACGGACGTTTGACATCCTAACACTACCGGATCCGGTGGCTTTTCTGAAGCCAGGAGATGAAGTGGGATGGCTCCAAGTTTTACCAAGTTTTCCAGGCGCTACGGCACAAGGGTGGACTCTGCTATGAATGACATGGATTGGCAGTACAGATCTCCCAACAAGTTCTGGCAAGTTTCGGCACGGCTAGCGGCTAGCTCTACTGAAAGAAGATTTCCACAGGTCAGGTAGTGGTTCCTACTTTGACTCAACGTTTTGTTCAATGGTTCATCAACATTTAACAGTTCCACAATTACTATTTCTGAGAGACTCAGGTTGGCACAAATGGCTGGGAAAGCTTTCAACTCCTGGTGGGTGGAAGGCGCTGGGGGCAGGACAAGACTCAGACAACCTAATTCATGGGAGAACGGCTCGTTGCAAAGCTCATTCTTCTGAGTTTTGAATTGGGTGGACTCTACAATGCGTTTCGGACTTCTTGTTTAGATGAAACTTGCACCCACCGATCCTGGACCTTGTAGCCAGGTGGGAGGAATGTGCGCAAAGCTCAGTCACTAGTAAGCATCGAAAACCTGAGAACCAAAAACATCAAGCTTCGGCACCAGGACGTGTCCATCACAGCATTTGGCCAGGGTATAAAAAGGCAACTCTGTAGAAAAAGGAGAAGCCGCTCATCGTTGCTTGAAATGCATTGCCCCCAACGCAAAGAAAACAAGGCTCTCTCCAATTGCAAGACTGACAAAATCATGTGCTGTAGAGGATATACGATACATCATTATACATCCATTGGTCAAGTGTGTACTGAGGTATACCCCAGCATTGCAGATGGCTGCCCCTTTGTAAAGTATGAGCTTCGAGGGTGTGGCCTTCAGAGGGGCTATGGGGAAACGGTCAGACTGCCCAATACACTATAACGGTCTGAGGGAGACGAGGGATCCACTGAAAGTGTGAAGAGGAGAATTTCATCACAAATGCATCACAGAACCGCCTTTTGAATCGAGCAGCCTCCAATGGAGGGCACTTGGCCAGGCCTGACAACAAAGGCCATGGCAAAAATTGGACCGTTGGGAGGTGGCCACGAGCAGATGCCAGCTGAACCTTGCACACTTTCCTTGTTTCTTTTCCGGCTCTGCAGACCAGCAACTTTGTGCTTGAGTCTGCCCGCCAGACATCCTGAAGATCCGGCCAAAGCTGGCCACCGAATCCGGGTGGCCGTGTCGGTGGCCTGGCTGCTATGGACTCCTCTGCAGACTTTGCAATAGGTGGTATTGGAAGCGCATGGAGTGTTCTGTTGGTGCTGACTCAGAACCGATCATCAACAGCTTATTCAACCTTTGCCGAAGGTGAACGCGCAGGGTCTGCCGAAAGAGGTGGCCTGGCGCGAGGCATCCCGGGATGGTCAATAGCTAGTCATTGGCCGGTATGGGGACACATATTATATATAAATATACGAGAGTGGTACGCTGTGGAGGCCCCATTTAAAGATGTTTTTGGTCATTTCTAATATATATATGTTGTTGAATCTATGGTGCGCAGGGTGGGAAGCTAAGTGTGGCTTCAGTTCAGCCTCTCGATCAAGTGTGGTCACTAGCCTACTACTTTCTGAATAGGATATTCAGAGGCACGAACCTAAATTGTCACGCAGCCAATGTTCACACACCACTCAGTTTTAAAAGGGCATCCTCCAAGGCGTTCCTACTCCAGAACTTGCTTTGCTGTCTCCTTCAGGGTGCTCGTGTGTTCACCTCACCCAAAAGGATACTGAATTGAAGTTCATTGTGAAAGACGGGTACACGTGGATCATCATCAGTTCTTTGCTGAACAGGCAATGCCAAACCTACCACTTTTTGTGCAACAAGCCTTGAACCTACCCAGCTCGATCCACTCAGCCCAAGACCAGTTGGCATCAGATTGCCGCGTTTTACACCAACCGCCGGCTTACGCCAAACCACGCTTTACAGGACCTGGCCTTGCTGCTGCAGCGCCTTGGGTGTAGCACCGCTGTTGGCACTACGTCACGGTCTACACCAGCTACCGTTTCTGCCACAGCGCGCCACTCACCGTTCACGCCCCCGCCCCTCTATAACACGCCACGGGATCCGCGCACCACTGCCCCGCCCTGTAGAAGCGATGTTTCCGTACAGACACACCCCTTCGTCCCTTCGTTGGAGCGGGTGGACCGCGAGTCGACACTCTCTCACGGCTTACACCTCCCTCCGTGCACACCAAACCGTGTGGAGTGGATATTTCACTCCTCATTCCGCGCTGGGCAGGGATATTTCCATACAGACCCCCCCCGCTTCGTCCCAAAGTGGACGAAATCATCGGAGCAACAAACTTTTGGGACGCAAGCCACCAATTTGCGTCCATGTGCGATGTGGTCTTTTCGCGGAACCTTGCAAGTTCGTGACCACGACGGGCGTCGGCGGCATAGCTGCTTTGGCTCGAAGTCAGCTTGGCAGAGATGATGCAGCGCAAACTGCAAACGACGGCGTCTGCAGGCACCGGCTTTTGCTGCATGCTGCCTGCTCTTCTGTTTGGGTCGTGTTCCACGTGCCGGCCGTGGAGGTCATGCTCGCCATGACGCTGGATGAGCTGATCCAGGCACAGGTGTGCTGTGGTGGAACCATCGGCTACTGGATTTCATGGATGGGCGACCCCCTATAGCAGCGCGCAAGGGTCACAGGGCAACGAGCAACGCGCGCACGCACATAATATGAGCGGTCATCTACGGCGCGCTTCAAATTTGCTTGTCTTTCATCCGTGTTCACTTGTGTAGTGTACAGGCCCAGGCATAAACGAGATACCTCCAGGGGACGCCGCCTCCCGCGAAACCCTTACTACTACTGTAACTGCTGCGAAGGACGGTGGCCGGTTTACGCAAAGCGAGCCCAAGCGCTAAACATTCCTGTAAAGAAATGATAAGAAATTGGAGAAGGCTTTGGTTGCTGCGCTGGATGTTTCAAGACGAGTTTTCTTTTTTCGGTCTGTGAGCAGCGCAAGCTTGACACAAGGAATTGTTGTGGGCCGTTTGCGCACTGCAAGACTCTACAGCTTTCCAACACTGGCGGCCAAAAAACCAAGGAGCAGGCAGAATTGCCACCTCGGCCTGCGCGATACGAAGCTGCCACTTGGAATGGATCATTACATGTATAGTCTACTATAGTCGTGCGTAGTGCATACTGTTAGGCAAAAGCTCACGCGTATTGAGATGCTAGCTCATGTTTCCGGTATAGAGGCGCGCAGGGTGGACGCTAGACCAAACACACACTTTTGCAGCTGCGTCTTTGTTTCCATTTTGATTCCTTCGGTCTCGTGTGTTTTTTGCTCCTTTCACATTTTGCTTCTCCTCCGGATTGCTCCTCTGGCGCGTGGGGGCACTGCTTGCTGGAGACAAGCAGTCGCAACCGGCCGAAGCCCGGCGCCTTGCATCTTCTGTGTCAATTCGATGTGGTGCGTGGAGACTTCGAACATGTCGGGTGGCCCTGTTTGGCATGGACTGGACGTCTGGCGGTCTGACGTTTAAGTTTTTCCCTGGATTTCTTCACTACGGGTTTGGTTTCTACCCAGGATTGATGGGGCACGCCCCCGACCCAATATATCCCATAATACTTACATGATTTAAGCAGGTTTCTTGCGAGAGATATATATATATAGACGCACCGACTTACATCATCCATAGAATAACTTTTTTGCTCTACCATGCACCAACCAGGTTTCATTATCCGGCTTGTTTAACTAGCTTTGAACGCCAGACTGGCCTGAAACGCTATGATTTTATGCCAAAATGTGCTGGAGGTCGAAGCTCCTTGACAGACGGTGGAACGCGATGCCTTAGAGTTCGACGAGGATCCGGACCAAAGTCTCTAAGAGATCCTTGATTGAACAAACCTTGTGACGTAGTGACATGTTCTGGTTTCACGACTCATGAGACTGAAGCAGCTTTGTTTTGACCCTTGCATTTCTCTTGAGGGCTCGAACCACATGCCGCCAACGACACACAGCGGCCCAGCGCGTCGAGGATATGGCGATGAGTTCTGAATCTTCCGTCGCACGCGCCAGCATCTCTGTGACCTGAAAATAGACACTACAAGGGGGTTCTAGTCTTACCCCGATCATCCACATAATTAGCTGACAATGCGTGTTTTGCATTCTTCTATTCTCGTCCCGCTGTCCTGCCTTTCGTGTTTCCGTGTTCTCAACTTTGCTGTTAAGCTGATATTCTTTTCAAAACACCGTAAAAGTGGGGCGTCCACAAGGTACATTTCTGAAAAAAATCAATCAGAGAACGCACGATATATATATATACGTATATATAGACATACATGGTTCCAAAGAGTCAAAGAGGAAGACTGATGCCACTAGACCGTGAATGATCTTCATGGTGGAGTCTCGGGCTTGGGTTGCCCAAGACCGGGTGTGGCTACAATGGATGTCAGAGTTTCTTGGGTTGTAACTTGTGAGCGCGGGGCAAGATGCCCGAAGTCTCATTCACGCTGAGTTGCCAGTTGATATTTATTTGCGTTGAAGATGTTTCTCACGAACTTGCAGTTCCATTTGGATCAGACCGCCGCACGGAAGAAACATGGCCGCATTTGCTCGGAACCCACTTTGTTGGACAGGGGGTCGGGGACTGTAGTAGAAAGCCTGGAGCATGGATTACGATCGAAGAATTCCTTGGAGGCAAACCATATAAATATATATATATATATCTATCTCTGGTTTGTGGGTGATATGTTAGAATTTTCAAGTCCTGGTCATTCATATTGGACAATGCTGGCCAACACTTTTTCCCTTGGCATGGTCCCAATGATATGCTAACCAGAAACTGAAAATCTAAAGTAGGAACCACAATCCTGCGTCCAGTTACTGGGAGTTTCTTATTGCTACTAGTTTACTTTTCCCTTACTTAATTGATTAAGCGCCTACTTATATAATTAAGTCAGGGCGGGCCTTAAAAAAATTGAGAAAAAAACACAGAAGTATTGTACTTTGCTTGAAACGACACGTAGTCATCGTAGTCGGCTCTCCTGTAATGCTCAGGTCTTGGCACCAGGGCCACGCCCAGCGCATCACGTGCCCACGCACTATGCGCAGGTTCCTAAGGCAAGGGCTCGGTGATTGAGGTTGCTCATGCTCATCGGAATAAAGGTTACTGCACACACACATACATATATAAACACGCACACACACATGTATATGTGAAATTAGGTCGTGAAAGTAGAATAATTTTTTCCTTGATGACTGGTAGCTCTGGTAGGTGTTAGTGCTTTGAAGAACTTTTGTGCAGGTACATACAATCCGTAATTCCCTTGAATGAAACTCACAGTGATTGAACAAACTCTACGGCAGTGCCAAAGACTATGCAGCTCAGGCAGTACCAGGAATTATTGAGACCAACCGACACTGTTGTTGCGCAAGTCCTATGAACCCACACTGGGGGGGCAGAGATACCGGAGCAAGACCAACAGTTTCTGGTGGAGGTTTCTCATTAACTGAACCGGATTTCTTTGGCAACACCAACAGCCTCCTGGATGCCGCCACTTGAGGATGATTTCGCCACCAGGCGACACCAAGCCCTGCGACTGCTCCCAGCACGTGTGCGCTGCGCGCTGCTCTGGTGGGCAGCCTGGTGGCCACCGCGGCCTCAGCCCGAGCGCCGAAGAAGCTGAAGACGCGCAGTGCTTGGGCTGTTTGAGTGAGACAAAGGAACTATGGGGGAAAATGGGCCGCTCTTGTTTTGTGCTGAAGTCATGTTTCGTTGGGATTATGTTGGAATACACCTTACAAGTCCAAGTATATCATCCGCCTATTACTGCAACCAGCCAGTGACCCAGTGTAAAGAGGAAGACAGAGGGGTTTCCGACCATTCTTAACCATCTTCTGCTCTTCAGCCGGAAAAGGACTAGAAGCAACTACGCCTGTTGGTTCATGGGCTTCAGAACATGGAAAAGGGTAAAGAAGGATGAAGAAGGTGTAAATAGCACTTGACAATTGACTGGCATTTGTCCCAGTAGTCTGAGTCACCCAACCAGCCCCCAGTGTCCAGCCCCCAGCACCCAGTTCAAGAATCTTTCCAAATCTACGAGGTGCACGTGCTTCGCGTGTAGTGCGTCATGCCAGCACCAAGCTGGACGATTCCGGTGCGTGGTCCTTCGTGCATTTGAAGAACGGCGACTCGGAGGCTGAGCGGGTCGACAGAAGACGAGTCGTGTCAAAAACTCTGAGTATTTCGTTCGTCGACAGCAAACTTGTTGGTCATGTGACATGTGGTAGATGTTGCTTTAAAGTTGCACTCATGGTTCCTTCCCTTCACAGACTTCCAGGCCAAAGTGTATTTGCGTGGTGCAAACGTGACCTCCTTCAAGGTCGGAGGCCGCAACTGGCTGCAGTCACAGCTGTGCCCCTGGATAGACCAATCGAAGATCACCTCAACAGAATCTTTTGATGGCCGGCATGGGCCATGCAGGAAATTGCGCATCGCCGCATCACAAACAAGTATCCATGTGTAGCGTTTACACTTACAGCCAATTACAGCCAATTGCAGCTGTCACCATGCACATGTTTGCTGCTGTGCCGCCAGGAGTGGAGTGGATCGGCCTTCGTGCAGATTGTAAACTTGATGGCTCCAAAGCCAACATCAGCGGAGGCGCCGGTTCCACTTGGCACTCAACACTTGTAGACGACGTTCCCTAGGCCCGTTATCATCGATTCAACGGTCGCAACATCTAGAATGCCATGTGGGTTGTTGCCAGTGGCTTGATGTTTATTTTTCTCGGAGCTGCACCGATAAATGTCAAATGCCCAGGCCTTCCCATTTGCTTTCCGCAGTTCGGGCCGGGGGAAGTGATCCCACAGCATGGCTCCTTGGAGAAAGTTTCGAGGTGAGAGGTCCAGCATGGCTCATTGGCTCATATTGGCTCATAGTGACAGTGGCTCACTAGAGTGAGTTGAGCAACTTTGAATGCTTGAGATCTGCCATGGAAAAGCCTGGAAAAGCAGGCTTTTGATTGAACAGGGTGGAGAGGGCACATTTCTATGGGAGCTTTTCCTTCTTTTTTGTCTCTGCTGAGACGAGTCCTTTGCAGAGGTTTTGCCCGCAACATGGATTGGACCTTTGTGGAGGGTGAGAGCAGCGATGGCAAGTGTGTGCTGGAGCTGGTCGACTCTGAAGAGACGAAGAAGGCTGAAGAACATCCATGGGTTCGTCCAGACACACTGACATCCATGAGATTTCATGGGACATGTGGCCGCCATTACACACAAACACTGCCGTCTTTCTCGAACATTGAAGCGGGCTTTTTGGTGGGTCATTAAGGTCCCAGCCTTCTAAATGCGTGGAGAGTAAAAAGCAAAGGCAGCGGTCTACCTTAGCCAAATCTAGCTAATACCTCTCATTGCACCGGATTGCTCCTGGCGCATTTTCTTTGTGCCAGGCATTCGGCCATTTTCAGTCTCTTGAGCCAACCCATGATGGCCTCCGGAGAACTGTCCCTTTCCATCAACTACCAGTCTCAGCAGTTCAAAGAAGAGTCTGGTTAGTTGTGGGAAGCAGAACAAGAAGATATTTTTTCCACTCTTGTGTTGAAGGGCTTTACAGACACACTATTACATGGATAGATACCCTTTCCAGGCGGAGAGAAGACATGTATCCCACAATCCAATCACTGAACCGGTTGCTCGAAATAGAAGTTTTGTTTATGTGGAACTCAGGAATCCCGGTGAGTCAGCCTAGGAACAAGAAGCTACTAGTGGCTCCTGGCATCGCTACTAGGGGCAAGGACGCTACTACGGGCTCCTGGCCTTACTACTAGGAACAAGAAGCTACTGTTCCAGCATGAAGCCACATGCAACACCGACCCTAAGAACCGACCCTGGGTGAAAGCGTCGTGACGGGCGTGACCCGGGCAGGTGTGGCCGTTTGAATTCCGTTGCACTTACACCGTGGAGCTCACAGATGGGGAGTTGGCCACTACCATGAAGGTGGTGCCTTGAGCGAGATTGACCGCTCAGTGGCTTTCGTTGCGAATGGAGCAACACTGTTCAAACCTCCAGTCCTTGGGATTCTTTTTCTCCCAGTAGACTGCGGCAGGCTAGCCCTAGGAGAACATGAAGAAACCTGGATGGGCACTCTGGTCATGTCTTCTTTCAGATAGAACTGGCAGAACCTTCTCAATCATCGACATTTCATTCATTGAAGGTGAGGAGCAAGTGCACCCTATTCGTCTTATGTCTATATATATATATGATCCCTACCCCTTTAACCATCGATTTTGGAGGGGGACCTCCAAAAATGTAACTTACATTTGTTTGGGGGGAGGGGGGCGGGTAGATTAAAAGTAAGATTTAAGACTGTAGGTACACAAGACAGCATATGGATGTGACCCCCCCCCCTAATTTGAATGAATCATTCCTCGGTTATTCCTGGGGAATACAATGAAATACAGAGTCCATGCCACACTGATCCGTTTCCGATTTTGTTGGGGGGGGGAAATGTAACTTACATTTTTCTTCCCCCCCCCCTTGTTTGTTAGGTAACCAGAAACACGACAGCAGACGCGGGCCCGAGGGACCACAAGGATAGGATAGATCTTACAGTTCATCCGTTAGTCGATATCGTATGATATCGTATGAAATCATTATATTATATTATATTGACATTCTATCCTACCCAGGAATATAGGGGGACCTCCAGAAATGTAAGTTGCATGTTTGGAAAAAATGTAATTTACATGTTTTCAAAAATGTAACTTACATTTAGGAACGCCCCCCTGCACTTTTGGGGGGGACCTCAAAAATGTAAGCTTACATTTTTGAAAAATGTAAGCTAGGGGCGTTGAGGAAAATGTATTATTACATTTTCAAGGTGGCATGCTCAGAAAATGTAACTTACATTTTCCAGAGGTCCCCCCCTCTGAATATGGTAGGGATTATATATGTCTCATAAGAGGTACAAAGGTTTCGTACGAAAGTACTACGATGAAGCCTTTTTGCATCAATTCCAGGGCTGTTGTGCCTCTTCAACAGAGGCAGTCCTTTTGTGTAGGGGAAACCATGGGAAAACAAGGTGCGAAGGGTCGGTTTCATGGGTTCAATGTGCAAGGGGAAGACAAGGTGCTTCTTTCACCTTTTTGTTGGACCGATACTATGCCTAATTTCGAGCGTTCCCGGTGCCCTTCAGCTCAATGTGAGGGACTTTGTTGATTTGGTTTCTCAGCTGGATCATCACAGTGTGCCCCAGATGTTGAATCGTCAAATGCCGAAGCGGGGCTTGCTGGGCTTCCCTATTGTGCGCGGGTATTGAGTGCTTCCAAGGAAAACTTGTCGGAGTCTGAATGCACTTTCACCACCGGGATCCATAGCCACTTGGCTGGTCATGGTCAAAAGATGCCAAAAGGCCAGAAAGGGGTTTGCAAAATTGTCTTGACATTGACATCGCGAAAATGTTGTACTGTGTGCCTGTACGTTGTTGGCCTTTTGCTTTGGGTGGTACAAAATAGAATCATTGATTGTGCGGCATGGTGCTCAAAGCTTGTCAGATGCGGCACAAGCGGATACTGTAGTCATTAAATAAATCATATTTTTGTTGCAAGTGTCAAGCAAGCATTGCCTCTCACGGGAAAGTAGCTTTGGTAGGGTGTTGCACTTTTTGCAGAACAACGCCAGTGCCATGTCTTTGACTTCAAGACTTTGATTCGAGGCTATTTTGCCACCTCTGACATTGACAAACTTGGGATCGTTGGCAAGTTCAAGGGCTGCACATACGAGGACCCAGTGCAAGCTGCCTCGAGTTTAATCGTTTTCGCGGGAGATTCCCTAGATTGAATTCCTTCCTGCAAAGGGGAATGTCAGGCTGACTTCGTTGGCACTGTCAGGATCGAACGAAAAATCCTCCCACTCCGGTGGACTACGACAAGGACGAGATCAAGATTGCAGAGTTCAGAGATGAGATCTACAAAAAGGCTCATGGCTCATGGTGCAGGTGTGTTTGATAGAACTTGAAAGGCAAAAGCAATAATCCCCCATACTGTACCACACTGATACTGCAATACACCCCGTCCTGGATACCTCAGCTTCGCTAAGCCGGTTCGCGAGCGTTGTTTTGCTAAGGGGTACCCTTTCGCGCCCGCGCAGAAAAAACGGTAAAAACGACACTTCGATTTTTACCGTTTTTAACACGGATATGGTATTAAAAAAGGGTCACTCCCCCCCCCCCCCCCGGTAAACACGAATAAAACACATCGATTTTTACCGTTTTTACCACGGATATGGTAGAAGAAAAAGGGGCGACCCTCCGTTTAAAAAAAATAAATAAAATTATCGATGTTTACCGTTTTTACCGCGGAAATGGTATTCAAAAAGGAGCGTCCCCCGGGTAAACACAGTAAAAAATAAACAATTCGATTTTTACCGTTTTTACCGCGGAGATGGTAGAAAAGCAAGAGTGTGGGATGCTATGCGGGTGTGTGTTTTACGGTGTGTTTTGGTGTTTTTTTAGTAAACAGTATGTGATTTTCATATTTTTTTAAAACTAACATCTTTATATTGTATTTCTTTAAAGATTCATAATTTGAACACAAAATTTCCATATTGTATTTCTTATCTCTCGTTACTGCAGCACCCTTGTCAGCATTGTGTGGTCTTGGCTGGCTGGTGAGGAAGGTTTGGCTGCGTACTTGCCTATTCAAAACATGGGGCCAGTCTTGTCAACAGAGGTTGACCCACATTTCAAGGCATTGGCAACAAAAGAAGAATTACCAGGGTAGAAGGCCACAATGAGCTAAGGGCACTATGTCACTCACTCAAGGCCATAGGCATGAGCATTGAGATGTTCAAGCCTGTTGACAGCAGAGGAGGGCAGGCATCAGCAGGGTACACACTTTGAGGTCACAAACACATCGAAGGGAACCATAACTGCACAGTTGCCAAGTTGCCACCAGGATTTGACATCACACACCCGCCCATTTTGGTCGCAGTGTCAGACCAAGGTGGCATAAGCAGGGCTTTGCTTGATTATGTACAATACAAAATTGGAATCATGATAGTTGTATTGTATGATTTCCAACATAGACTTTGGAATGACATCAAGACTGCAATGAAAGTGGCAAAGGTGTTCAAATCTTTCCTGTCCTACAGCCTCCTATGGAATGTGAACTATGGCCCCAAAGGGACCAAAGCTTTCTTTCAGAAGAAGCAGGCTGCTACTCAAGAGCTTCTTATGAGTCCAACAGTGCCACCAGAATTCATGACACTTCTTCCATACATTGCACATGAACTTGGGCAAGATGAGCCACAAACATTGCATGGCATTGTCAATCTTTTCAGGAGGGTCAAGGAAATGAAAAGTCTACAGGTTCTAGGACCATGTGTGAAGCTCATGCGTTGGTGCAGTTTGTGGGAGAGCTATGAATTCTATGAAGGAGAGAATTGGCTGTCCAAGTTTGTAATGAACTCCACAGGTACTGCTGCCATTCCCACTTCCACTGATGATGTTCAGCTACAACCAAACCTTTCACCCCAAGAAGAGCTGAAACAATTGAAAATCAAGTTTGGGTCCTGGAGTTTGGCGCCCCAACTGGTGACCCCCCAAAGCAGCTATCAGAAGGACTTGGTTGCAGAGATGGTGAGACCTCTTTGGACTGCGAACAGCTTCATGTCCCAGCATGTCAGGTCACCAAGGGAATTTCAGGAGTTTGTCATGGGGATGGCTTCTGGTGATTGGCAGGTCCAGTTGCAAGACCTAGTTGTCCATGGTTTCTTTGATGTCCCCACCATGAAAAAGCTTTATGGTGGCACTGAAGTGGGCACTGCAGAGAACTTGGCAATCCACCAT